TTAGTGTACTGATGCACCCCAAGTGTATCGATGCACTAGGTCAACTAACGGTCAAAATATTTGAATTTTACACATGTGTATCGATGCACCCTTGAGAGTGTACCGATGCACTCACGCTCCCACCGGATTTTTAAATGATAATTACTCAATAACGGCTCTATTGACTTCACCAATGATCCCCAACGTTCAAAAGTGATTCAAAGTGTATTTAAACAAGCTTAGGAGCCATTGATCAACAAGAATTAAGAAGAGAAGCTAGAGAATCAAAGAGAAAGTCTTGAACTTATCGTTTGAGCATTTTCGAGCCTATTTTCATTCAATATTCGTTTTTACTTTCAAGAACACCATTTGTGCTTAAATATTTTATATATTATAATAAAAATAGACAAGCGAGGACTTAAATATTGGCCAAGTGAGAATATGATAAAACTTAAATTGCTTAAAAAATCTAATATATTATTTATAATTAATTTAAGATTTAATATTTTTAAATTAAATTCATTTATTAATGAATATTATATATATGAAATTATATTTAAAATTAAATTAAAAATTTATTTAACATATCCAAACTCACAAGCACAATTTAAAAGCAGAAGATAAATTTATAATTTTAATCTTAAATATTTTTTCTTACGATTATAATTTGAATATTAAATTATTTTTAATGATTTCATATATATAATCATTAAAAAATAAATATGAAAACAATAAAATTAGTTTAGAAATATTAAACTCTTAAATTAATTATAAATAAACTATTATATTTATTTTTAGTGATTTAAGTGTTGTCATATTCTCAATTGGCATAGATGTAAGTTTTTGGTTATCCTTGTTTTTAATTTTTTTTATCATTAACTATATATGTAATATTAACTTCAAGTTGGATTCCCTTGGGTGTCAAAACTCATCTTCATTTATTTTCAATTCAATTCAATTCAAAAGGTGACACGTGTCACCTTTTGATTAGATTGAAAATTTATTAAATTAATTAAACTAAAATTGAAAAACCCTCTAATCAGACTGTGACATGTGTCACAATTTGATTGGAGAAATGAATTTATTAAATTAAATTGAAATTATGACCTAATTAAAATTTAAGAATTAAAGTTAATATTGGTGATCAAATTGATTGATTCTAAAATTTAGGGGATTTAATCTATAAATTTAATACATGTCTAGAATAAAAGATTTTAAAGTTAGTACTCAAATTAAGGCATTAGACAAATTAAAAATAGAATCAGGATCAAATTGCATCAAATGAAAATTCAAGGAAACAAATCATATACAAGTAGTGACCAAAATGGAAGAAAACAAAGCGGGATTCCAGCACTGCAAATACGTAACTTTACAAGAACTTGCGCCCTACTTATACCAATTTTGTTAATCGCCACTTTAATACCTTCGTTAAATGTTAAGAGCATATTACTATATTGAAACTATTTAAATAATTCACTGATCATATTGACGTAAATTTGAAAATGGTGGTCATTAAGAGACCAAACCCATAGTTGGGTGATCATGTATGTACTTTACACCAGCGTTTCAAATCGCGGTCGCGTTTTCGGTTATTTCGGATTTACGTGAGTGCAGCGTCGCGGGCGCTATTACGGCCATCGCGGACAATATTGCGGCCGTCGCGGGTAACTCGGACGGTGGCAAAACCGCTATATTACGGCCGAAATCGCGGTCGCGGACCGTTTTTTAAAACCCAACTTTACACATTAAAATATTAAAAATTATTCGTATGGAAAGAGTAATAAATGTGGATTTTATTCACCTCAATTGGCATTATTAAAGAGATGTAGTACACCAAAATGAAAATATAGAAAAAAGAAAAGGAATTTAAAAGGGTGGAAGACGACAAGGGTAAATGCAAAAGCAACCACCCGGCAGACAAGCTCCATTAGCTTCAGCTCCATGCTTTTGCTTACACAAGCTCAAGCAATCCTTGTTATGGCAATTTTGCATTTTTATTCCTTCACTGCAACTGTCTGCTACCACTTCTTTTCCTGGCTTTTTTTTTTTAACAAATAATACAAGGTTAAATAATGTATGAATAGAATAATTTAAAAGAAATGAGAAAACATAAATAATAATGAAATTTTACCCCCAACGAAAAGAAGAACGACAATGAAAAGAATAGCAGAGACTTGGAAACTCTTCATGGTTTTCTGTTCTTTTCTAAATCTTTTTCTTCTTTTATTTTATTTTTTGTATGAAAAAAAAAAAGAATTGCTGTATACAATATTAATCGGTAAGAAATCATGTATTTAAATCATATTTACCATATATTTCAAAATTTATTATTGCCAAAAGAGCAAATAATTGGTAAGAAATCATATTCCATATACGTTAAAACGATTGTATATTTTATAACATAATTATTTTTTTTTGATCAATGTGAATTATTAATATTATCGACTTAATATTCGATTGTACCTAAAAAAAGATAGAGAAACGTACAACTCTTCAATCCAAACCAGTACTTGTACATTATTCTTTATTTTTTAATAATACTTGTAATTATTATATGTAATTTGAGGTGGCAAACGAGTCATTCGGGGCGGGTTCGGGTTATTTCGGGTTTAGATCTAATCCGGGTTGGATCGGGTCATTTTGAGTTTCGATTTTATTCGGGTCTACAATAAGTCGAGTCGGATCAGGTCATTTTGGGTTTCAATTTTATTCGGATCTATAATAAGCCAGGTCAGTTCAGGTATCGAGTCAGACCAAATTGGATCGTTGATTTTCACGTTGGATTAATATCCGACCAAATATTTTTTGTTTGAGTCAAATTTAGATCTTTGACGTTAATTATAAATATAATATTTTTTATTAAATTAAAAATATATTATTTATGTTTGAATAAATATATTATAAATATATTTATAAATGATATTATATTATTATATCATCGATAATATTTTAATTTTAAATTATAAATAAAAATAAATATCTTTATATTGTAAAAATAAGTTATTTGTGTAGTATAAAAATAAATTACTTTTATATTAAATTTAAATAATTTCATTTTTTCATATATAAAGAAATTAAAATAATTTGTAAATTAATTTAATAGTTTTGGAAAATTATTTTCGTAGTTCTAAAGTAAAATATTAAATTAATAATGAGTTAATTGTATTATATGTGCCTAAATTATGACTCATTTTAATTGGTCCTTAAACTTTAAATATTTCAATTTCTTCCTTAAATTATGACTCTCATTCTAAATTAGTTCTTAAACTTTTGAACATTCAAATTTCATCCCCAAACTATGAATCTCATTATAAATTGGTCCATGAACTTTTAGATATTTCAATTTCATCTCCAAATTCATCTAAATATGTAACTCATTTCAACCATAGTTTAACCTATATTTTATTTTTTTCTAAACATATAATAATATAACTTGCCTGATGATTTTATTAAGAAGATATATGATTAGTATATACAAATAATTCATCATTTGATTTTTTTGAAGCTATAATTTGATTTAAATAAATTGAAAACCAATTTAATAAGTTATTTTTGTATTTTTATACACTTTAACTCAATTAACGGGTTAAAATTGGGTCAATATCCAGTTTAAATCGGGTTTTGGTAAATTAAATTCGGGTTACTTTCGGTTTGATTGCTTTTGGTTTGGCTAAAATTTGGGTCAGTTTTGCTTCGGTTCGGGTTACTTTCAGTTCAACTAAAATTCGGGTCGGTTTCGATTCTATTCGGGTTTTCGGGTTTCGAGTCAAATTTAGGTCATCATATTCGAATCTATTTCGAGTCTCAGTTCAAATAAATCGATTCGGATAATCGGGTTCAAGTTAAATTTACCAGTTGTATATGTAAGGCAAGTGTGTATGTACATATTGCTACCATGACTTCTATACTTTATAAAATTGAAGTATTTGATGAGATTTTCAACGCTTTTAAGTGTTCTGATCCTAGTTATATTGTCTTCCTGAATCTTGTTTAATTTTCATCACGTAATATTCTTTTGATGATTTTATATTTTATAAAATAATTAATTTTCAATTAATGTGAACTAAATTGATTTAATCTAAATCAAAACTTGTGCATTATCACATGTAAGTTCAATGCACACGTATGTTGTAATCATGACTTTTGCAAAATTGAGTCTTTATAGGATTTTCAAGGTTTTTAGATTAATAATGTTCTCTTCGTGAATCTTGTTTTATTTGCTTATCACCGTGTAATACTGAAAATTGTGTATGCACACGTAATAATGTTGTCTTTATAGGAATTAGGGTTTCAATATTTGTGACTGCCATAAGTTTTTTAGCAGTGCTAAAATTATAGATTTAAAAATATTTAGGAACAAGTTAAGTTGGATATCGGATGGTTTCTCACATGGTGAGATATGATTGTAAATGAGATTTCCAGAAACTGTGGGAGATAATATTGGTTTGTTGTATGCAGTAACCTTTTTTTTTTTTTAATCTATTTCATCCGAGGTTGAGGGCATATATGTAGAAGAGACATTATTGTATATGTGCATTAATTTATTGGAGTTTATATGCATAAGACGGAAGAAAGTGCAGATGCATTGCGACACATGGCACATTGTTGGTAAGATTTGTGGGATTTATCGACATGTGTGTGACAAATACTTGGTAAATTAGCTTTTTTTGCTTGGTTTCCTAGCATATAGGAGATAAAATCAGTTATGCTCCATTCATTAGAAATCCGATCCGTCGCAGTTTCGTCTTGGTCCACTTTATTACGATCTCATTGGGAGAAATGAAAATTAGTAGCACTCAAAGTTACTTGAAATTATGTTCACAAAATTGCATCTTCCTGATTGCATTGAGCTCAGCTGTTACAGCGACTCATACAACTGACATTCATATGTTACATGTTCGTTTGATTTAATAATTGGACTTGCAGAATGATTATATGATATCTATAGTGTCCTAGCTAGTGTGTATACCGCATCCGTCTGCTGCTATTTAACTTTGACCTTTGGATGCCATTGGCTCTATTCAAATGCCTTGAAATTCTCTGTTTCAAGTATTCTTTTTTGTTTCTCGAGTTTTATGGCCAAATTCTCAATGGAGGAAAGTAGACCTGGCAGTGTAATTTGTTGTGTCATAATCAGGTTGAAGGTATTTTGTATATGTATAAATTGTGATATTAGTAATTCATATCAAATAGATTTTGAAACATCCGTGTATCTGTGTCATGGTTATGTTGTTTTTGTGTTTTATGCTGTGTTGTTTATTGCCAGACTTTATAAAATAGCAGTTATTTGAGCTGTCTCTTTGTACTCGAAAAATTGTAATGGTTTCTTCTTGCTTTGTATTTTTTAAAGTGTATTTCGTGAAAATGCACAGGTTACTACCTTACCATGTTGTAGCAGATTATGAAGCAGAGGAGGACGATAGAATTCTCGATTCTGACGCAACTGGCCAGATGCCATCTCGCTCCCAGCAGTGGGATCACAACATTGCTGCCAAAGTTGCAGAGTTCACAGCCACGTTCGAGAAACAGGCACTTGCCTTCAATATAATATCTCGCAAACGAACTGCAGGGGAATTTCGATCCGAGGAAAGGTTGATGGTTGAGCAGGCTCTTTTCCAGGAAGAGAAAAGAGCCATGGTGGAGTTGAAAACAGAAATAGAATCTAGGGAGAAGGCTGGTCGGGCGGCTCGTGAGGCTAAGATGCGAATGGCAGCAATGGTTCAGGCAGAGCAAGCTCGAGCCGAATCCCAAGCTCAAGCTGAAATAATGGACCGAGGCCCTATAAGGGCAAATGCACTTGGATCTGAGGGAGGCAACCTTCCAATTAGTCATGACATTGGGGAGCAGTCACAGGGTGTGAACCCTGATGAGATGATGAATGGATGGGGGAACAATGCACAGAGGGACGAAAAGGAGCCATCTGAAGATTTCTTGAACGATGAAGAGACTGACAATGGAGATATGGGGATGCAAAACGAATGCAGATATGGGGATGCAAAATGAATGGATGTCAATACCTTAGATAAAGCTCATTTTTGCATTTCTTAAAAGGACCAAAATGAAATAGGGATAGACCAAAATCGGAATCCAATTTTACCTTATATTTAGGGATAATTGTAATAATTATATGTTTGGGTTGAATTAGATTTAAGTTTAGGGTAAAAACACCCTACCCAAAAAATAATGTAATTATGCCTTATATTTAGGGATAATTGTAATAATATACCTCTATATTTTTTTCAATTAGATAATATTTTTAACAAATAAAATTAATATTTTTTATAAATATATTTGTTTTGAATTGAGTTGAGTTGAGATTTTATCTCAAAAAGACAGATCAGATTTGAGTTGGGTGAAATCATTCTAAACCAGGATCAACTCAGACTTCGAGTAGAGTATGTATATTTTTCTAGTTAGATCAGATTGATCAGACCCATGCCCAACCCTAAAAAGGAAAAGAAGGCAAAATGAACTCAAAACTTACTCCAGATGATTACTCAAACTCACAACATTTGCAATTGTTTTTCTATCACTGGAAGTAATCAACTTGGTACAAAAGAAAAACAGTAGAAAAGAAAAAGGTCCCCAAGACAGGGAAAACTCGATTTCTAATTTCTATAAGAAACAAGGCACTCGCCAAGCAAGAGAAAAGTAAATAACAAACCAATATAATGGTGCCTACTTTTCCCTTTTCTTTTTCTCCCACACATCTCATTCTCATGCACACAGATGGACAAGTAAGCAACATATCATCCAACATTGAACTTAAAGCCAACCAAAGGAAGGAGAAAGAAAAATGAGGCATTCCTTTAACCTCGAATCGAAGGAAAAAAACAGGGGACAAAACCTTCATCGATACCTACAAAATGTTGGGGAGCTGGGAATGCAATCTCTGCTGCAACTCCTTGATCTTCATGGAAAGCTCCAGTTTCTGCTCCTTGTAGCTCTGCAACAAAAACTCTTTTCCTTCTATTACCTCTTTTAACTCTCCTACTTCTCTCTTCAGCATCTCGATTGTCCCCCCATCTCCCCTCCCTTCTCTGGGGAGCCCGAGTTGCTTTCCGCATCAAGATACCCATTGGCATGACCATTTCTTATGTCAGATGGCCATGCTGTATCAGTTGATGTTTTCTTATTTGTGCCAACATTTCCTACGCATTGATCTGCATTGCCTTCTTCTGCCTTTGGATTTTTCTCTCCGAGTCGAACAAGTTTCTATTTGCAGCATCCAGCTGTGATTGTAAGTCAGTTGAGTGTGCCACCTGAGCATTCAGTGAGTTCTGAAGCTCCATAATTTGATTCTGCATCTCCAAAACCATATCATCTCTTCTTTTCAGCTGTTACCTTAGTTTTTGTATCACTTCCAGCTTGCTGAATATGTTGGAGACTGATTCTGAGACACATGGCGAGTCAGAGCAGTTAGACTGATGTAATGGCTTTGGAGGTAACTCAAGACGATCCATAGATGATGCCCACATAACACCATTATCCTTGTTGAAATCAGACGTGGGAACTGTCACCAGTGGGAGAGCAACTTCAGGTTCGGGCAGCATCTGACCATTGGGTAGGTGCTTCTCGCCAATGTTTTCAGCTCCTGTTTTGAACCCAACTTAAATGAGAAACCAACATATCAACAGAATATTAGAGACACACACATACTTCAACTTTCACTACTGAAAAATGACAAAGCATTAGAGAGTACATGAATTTAAGACTAGCCAAAGTAAGAATGGAAAGAAATAGAGACCTCCAAAAGGACCTTGCCTCCCGATATGAAGAGGACTTATGTTAATCTACACCATAATCTTTTCTAAACTACCACTGTCGGTCACAAATTAACACCTCAAGGCTCCAAGTGGGTATGATTGGAAACAATGAAAAACTGAAGTTGCCAAGTATATCACTCAAAGGCAAGGAATCCAAAAAAGGCTCAGTAGAAAAGGAAATGACTTGTTTCTTCCAATTCCGGCCAATAGGTGACTGTTTGCACAAAGAAAGGAGTTTTGCAATAGAAAACGAACTAGAGGATCATAAAATTCAATTTCTTCACTTTTATCATCCCACTCAAAAGACCAAAGCACGGGAAGGTGAAAAATAAAAAGTGCTTGTTTATCAGAAATGCTTTGGAGATCTCAAACAGTAACATGGCTGCATCACACCAGACATGCAGTTGAAACAACCATCATCTTCTTCAGTGAACGAGTACATGTTTGAATGTAAGCGGAAACCCGATGATCTACTTCTGTCAGAAGCTCCATTCCCTGTAATGAACTCTAAATTTATAAGCAGTTTTCAATACAAATTATTGGAGCAACAGATGTCAATATACCTTTCAAGCTGGCAGTACCATTATTCTGTTGCTTCGCATCAATTGCCTGCTTCAGCCTGTAACCAAGTCGGACTGATAAGGTACTCAGCAAAGCACCACCAGCAATGAGAATCCAAATTCTCCCCTCACCCTGAATTTTTTTGACTTCTGACCCCTAGATACCCGACTGCTGCTTATATTCATTTTAAGGGCAAGTAGGGGTCAGATGGGAAAACTCTGAATCACCCAAGTATGGCCTACGGTCAGAGTACAACATGCAATTACTATTGATGTAAAACAAAAGTTAGATACTTTGATGAAATAGCATCAAGAGAGCAATAAGTTTGACTTCTTCACAATAAACAAAAGTGGTCCTGAGACTTAAATGTGAACCAAGTATATTTATGTAAGATTTTCCAATTGAACAACTTTTTGAGATATTTATGTATACTTTTTACTTTTTGTTGATCGTTCCATAGGGAAAAAGTATATGTGGCTCATTGTGGATAAGCTTTTTTCACAGGAAATCGAGTCAAAGTCATACATCACATCCAAGATCAAAAATATTTTGAAGACAAAACTTTCCCCGCGCTATATGCTTTATGCAACAAGCTACATAACCAAAAAAAAATTAAGCTGTTCAACTTACAACAGAGTAGGTTAGTCTCTCTAAAGTGAAATATCACACATAGTTAGAATGTTGAAAATAAAAATGCAAACATCAACATCTCAAGCATTACATGTTTAAACCATATAATAACGTTTAAAGTCTTATAATTCTACCTGATTTAGGCAGTCCAGTGGCTTATAAACCCTAGACAACATCTTAAAAACAGATGAACCAGGCGCTTAAGACCAAGAAAATCAAAATCATACGAAAATCACTGGGAAAAAGTACCAATCCGCCAATCACAATGGAAGTATACATAAGCAGTGAAGAACATTAATTTCACATTATCCTATACTAAAGTAAGAAACAACAAAGTCATTTGTTGCATTCCATTTTATCTATGGATGTAGATCATCAAATGAGACATATATAATCAAATAAAAGTCTAAAAACAATAAATATGTGAGATTAAGTTAAAATAAAATGCTCAATGCTACAACAAAGCAGAAATAGCATTCAAAATTCCAAACGGACACGCTTGTCTAAATAAGCTTCAATACCTCCCATCACATCGAAATCTATATATTACTAATGAGTAATGATTAATACAAACTTCAAGTTCTAATATCACAAGCTGTCCATTGCCTACAACGGCTCAAAAAAGTGATTATAGTGTTGGGTTGGCCCGAGTTTATTTGGGCCGTTGGTTTATAAATACGAATCTAAACTCATGCTAAAAATTACGACCAAAATGATGATATTTTATAGATTATTCCTATAATTTTTGATCCGATTCGACTCTCCATCAATCAACTACATCAATTCAATAAATTTTGTATTAGTAGATATATTATTCTTAAAATAGTAACCAATGATTGATTGATAACTTAATAAGCATATAGATTGAAGGTTAATTAATCGATTAGATACAAATTAATTTATTTTGTGCATAAACCCTACAAGGAAACAAATAAATTAAAGGGCTTCATTAATGAAAGTATTTATTATTTTTTTGTATATAGTTGAGATCATTTAAAATGGAGGTTGGCAGGGGAAAATAAGTGCATGTAGCCAAAATGTCCCTTTGAAAATACGCCAATAACATGTGTTGGGTCCACACTTTCAGCAAAAATTGTCTTCTTCATGATTTTTTTTTAGGGTTAACTACTTCAAATACTACCAATATTTAAGTGCCGACTCGTTTATAATACCAATGTTTTAATTTTTAATTTTTAAGTGTAATTATATCATTCCACCGTTAATGGTTTAACGACAAATCGTGACGTTGTTGATGTGGATGCCTCATGTAAAAGACGTTTTTATGTTTTTGTTTTAGTGCTCAAAATACCTAAAATGAGATCGTTTTGCTTGAACCCTCATTTTCTTAAGGACTAAACTCAAATTTTCCCATTATATTTTTTCTCTTATTCCTCCTCATCTTCATCTGCATCTCCTTTTTCCATGGTTTTCTTGGCAACCAAACAGATTTTCCCGACAAACACAAGGTCTTAGATTATGTCAAGGCTTATGCAAATCACTTCAAACAAGGGTTCAACCGTGTGCCAAATATCCCGGAATTCCCTCCGAACAAGGGTCCCGAAGCATTTCACGGCAAAGTGATACACTCCATGGACTACGCAGCCATGAAAGATGCAAAGGCGGTGGAATTTATCAAAGGCAAAAGAGTCATCGTTGTTGGGTTCCAGAAATCCGCACTGGACATCGCCATAGAGTGTTCTACAACAAATATAATGGAAAATCCATGCACAGTTTTATACAGGACAGTACACTGGAACCTCCCTAATTATCTTCCTGGGGGCTTTCATTGGCGCATATGCATCTTACTCGTTTCTCGGAGCTCATGGTTCATAAGCCCGATGAAGCTTCTCCTTGGTCTTTTAGTCACAGTTCTTGCACCTCTGGTCAATTTCAAATCAAATGGCATATCGTTTGTATAGTTTTTTTTTTCACTTTTAGTTATTTGACAGAGATGGACGTGTTCGAAATTTGTGGAGAGTGACATAAGAAGGAAATTTCGTTTGGCAAAGAATGGCACCGTACCAACGAACAGTTTCCTCCATGAAA